AAAAAAAAAAAAAAAAAGAAGATAGAAATACTATCTTGCTATTTGGGATATAATTAGGCACACTTAAAAATTTTTCATTCAAAATGGCAGTCAAATACAAGAAACTTACAGTTACTACTCATTCCCACATTGTCTAAAAGTTAGGGGGAAAAAATCAATACTCAAAAAGCATTTAAAGGCAAAATTTATCATTGCAAATCTATCAGGTCAAAAATTGTGGCTTAGATCTTCCCTGTATCACCTATTTTAAGAGTCTTGCTACTGCCCCTTTCATCCAAATCCATCATTTTTAACCATTCATGGTGTGTGAACCCCTTAAAAGTTCACAATACAACTGAAGCTTGGTGAAGCTTGGAACTTTTTACCAAAGAAATGCATATCTTTACATATACAGAAGGTACCAAAAAAAGGATACACATTTTAAGAAAAGAAAAATTGTAAAACTCAATGTATACCAATAACAGAAGATGAATACAAGTCGTGTTAAGCACCTCTTATAATTGCAAAAGCCGAATGTGACTTGAGTATTACAAATTTAACACATCTTTTTCCTTTCTTAAAATGTATACACATTTTTTGTCAGTTGCCGTATACACACAATATATGACATATTTCCTGGGGATTAATCAGGTTGGAAAATACTACATTAAATTCTATGAATAAGAATGCACAAATTGTAGAAAATGCAATCTATAAAGTTGAATCTCATTTTGGAAATTAAGAGACAATCTTTCTGGGAATTATGCTTATGAATTAAAATTTAGTTTTTTATATAAATTATAGATAAATTTATATCTTGTTGCAGATGTGTGGTTTTAGTTTGCCGCATGACAGGAAAGAAATTATTAGGCCAGACTTCTGATAAATTTAGCGTGAATTTAAGTCAGAATATTAGGGCTTTTCTGGGCATAACCATGTGTGAAAGTGTCCCATGACGTCCATACATTATAGTTTTGTTAAGGCGGAGGTACTATTGTAATGGACAAGCCACAATCCCAAAACAGTTTCTTAATGTAATTGAGTTTGATTATCTTCTGTTCTTCTGGGTCCCAGCATAGCTCCGAAGAGTTGCTGCCTGCAGCTTGCCTTTGGAGCACTTCCAAAGCAAAATAGGTGATACCATAAACATATCCTGGTCTTGCCATTTGGGGTAAGCAAGTGACTCTATGTGGTGGCTCCTTCTGGATGTGAATTGATTTTAATGATATCTTTCTCTCTTCCGGGTAGGATTTATGTGGGCACCACTCATGTGACACCCTGGGAATGGCAGACGTTGGGACCATATGCTCTCCAGAGCGCAGCTGTGCTGTGATTGAAGATGATGGCCTCCACGCAGCTTTCACCGTGGCTCACGAAATTGGTATGCGGCGCCTTTTCTCTTCCCTAGCCAAATCAAACACTTGTAACAGCTGCAACAGGAACCAAAATACTTGGCAATTAATTCCAGATTTTTCCTGGTTCAGATGTACCATCGGGGATTAAATTTGTTTATATTTGCACTTTTCGGGTTAACTGAAATGGGAAGGGGAAGGCAAAGTCAGCGACACAGGAGATGTTTCCTTTTCACTGCATCATTTAAAATTTTCAGAGAACTTCATTACTGCTACCATCTTTTTACTGTCATTTTAAGCATCCCTGAATCTCTCCGAGACTAAATTTGTCACAGTTGACTATGGAATGCGGAGATGCCCATCTTAGAGGTTATTCAGCATAGTTCTGACTTACCCAGAGTTAATCTGTGTGTACAACAATTTCACATGTATTTTACTTCACTGCGAGTAATAATGATAGGCTCCTGTCACAGGTATCAATAGCGTATAGTAAATATTTCTGTCTCATCCCTAACAGCAAAGCAAATAACACTATGCCCGACACTGAACAGGGTTTGCTTTAAAATATCATTTACCCAGTTTGTTAGTCACAAGAAACACATCTGAATCCTAAACTATAAATGGAGGACTTGAGTTCGTTGCTAAAAAATAATCTCAAATAAAATATGCGTGCTTCCTAATCATTAACTTAGGCTACTGGGTGTGAGAGAAATTAGCTTAGTACCCACAGGACAGATGTTAGAATTAGACACATCAGGGCTTAATTCTTCCTAAAGTACTTTCTACCTACATCATATTGATCCAATTATTTAAACTCTCTAAGCTTCAGTCTTTACACATGAAATATAGGCATACTAGTGCCTATTTCATGGAGTTATTTTACAGACCAAATTGGGAGAGTTTAGATAATAGGTATTTTTTACTTTCCTGGGTACTTTGGTTTTGTAGTTAAATAGTTCGTTTACTTTTTAGACGTATTTATCACCTATTAGCATCATTTATTTGGTGGGAGCAGAGTGTGGTTTGATAATGATTGTGCCTTTTTTGCTATGTATTTTTAAACAGATTTTTCTGAAAGCTGAAATCATAACCTTTTCATGCACATTATAAGTTGTTTTCACATTCCTGGTAGACAGAGAACATTTTCACAAAGTGTTAATTCCTGACTGTCATGTTTGCCTTGGGAAGTTAAAACACCTTCTAATCAAAAGAGCAGTATGATTGCATAAGTCAGAATATTGCACCAGTAAAATAGGATTTGGTAATCAATTTCAATGCTTAAGTATTAATCATGACATTGATCTTATTTTTTTTATTAAATCATAGCTGTGTACATTAATACTGTCATGGGGTACAATGTGCTGTTTTTATATACAATTTGAAATATTTTCATCAAACTGGTTAGCATAGCCTTCATGTCATTTTCTTAGTTATTCTGTTAAGACATTTATATTATACATTAGAAAGATTCACATGTACCCTTATAAGATGAACCATAGGCATGATCCCACCAATCACCCTTCTTCCACCCATCCTCCCTCCTCTCCTCCCTCTCCCCTTTCCCCATATTCTTGGGCTAGATTGGGTTATAGCTTTCCTATGAAAGCTATAAATTAGTTTCATAGTAGGGCTGAGTACATTGGATACTTTTTCTTCCATTCTTGAGATACTTTGCTAAGGTTAAGAAGAATATTTTCCAGCTCCATCCATGTTAACATGAAGGAGGTAAAGTCTCCATCCTTCTTTAGGGCTGCATAGTATTCCATGATGTACATATACCACAATTTATTAATTCATCCATGGTCGATGGGCACTTGGGCTTCTTCCATGACCAAGCAATTATGACATTGATCTTCTTAACTGACACTCTTTTTACCACTTAAGAAAAAAAATTATAAAAAATAAAACCTGAGTGTAAAAAGCTACCTGATAGCATTGCTGATAATATTTTAATTCAATACTTTATTAATTGAGCATCTGTGGCTTCAAGACCTGGCCAGAGATCTGAAGTGGAATCCCAGCTCTGGTTCTTTGTTTTTATCTGAGACAAGTGGTTTAGACACATTGGGTCTCCATCTCTTTGTAAGGTAGGTTTGTAAAAGGAAATGTCTCTTTCCTGCACTGCACCACAAGAACTGGTCAGCCTGAAGGTGTCTTTAAAACATGTATTGTGGGGTGGTACCTGTGGCTCAGTGAGTAGGGTGTTGGCCCCATCTACTGAGGGTGGTGAGTTCGAGCCTAGCTGTGGCCAAACTGTAACAAAATAAATAAACTAATAAATAAAATAAAACAACATGTATTGTGGGATCCAGGATAATGGTTTTTGGCTCTACTTATCTCTCACTCATGCCTAGTAAATGAATTGATATAAACACAGCCTGATATAGAACCTTAGTCGATATTTATTACATATCTATGTGCATGAGTCATCCAGAAAAAGAAACAAGGCAATATTCTACTCTATAGCAGAAACTAGGGGGAATTATTCCCAATACTCATATTGGGGTATAATTAAAAGTAAGCCAGTAATTAATCCCTGGTATTCACAGTGAGAGAAGTCCTGCTGGGAAGTGTCTACATCCCTGGAAGGCAAAGGTTGGTCTGTCTCTGACTGGGTGGAGAAAGCATGAGGAACCAGACATGGAGCTGGATTTTGGTATCATCCATGCATAGAATTTAAGCTTCTAAATCATAACCTTTAAACAGTGAGATTACACATTCCTTGAAGGAAGGGCAATTTCTTCCTTCCCTCTACTTCTCTTTTAGTGATCAATGGGTTTTTACGCATTGACAGTTTCTGGGAGGCTTTCCTGCAAGACAATAAATGCCCCGTCTAGGGCTGCTCTGACTATAATCCATCTGGGCTGGAACCAAGAGCCATGCAGTGTCACCTTTCACAACTCTCCTGAATTCCTAAACTAAGAGTCTTTGGTTACACAGGCTAATGCAGCAGTCTGAGACATAGGAAGCCAGATGCTGATAAGAACAAACATCATATTGAAACTATATGTGCACATACTTATTCAGTAAGAATTTAATAGTACAAAGTATTAGACATAATTATACAAGGAAATAATGTGGGACAGGTGTGGATTTCTGTATGAAAAATCAAACCTAAACCTATGATATGTGTCCACTTTAATTTCTTGGTTGGATCATCTCTGTTTATTTTGTTGGAGTTCCCTATAATTTATTCTCTACACATCACACGCTTAATTCCCTTTTTGCATTACCAATGGACTGATCTGAGTAGTTAAGAATTAGAGGTAAGGGAATATGGATTTAATATCCCTTTCATAAGAGAATCTGGCTTTCATTCACTTCGTTTTTTAATTGCTTTATTATTCTTCAACTTTGTTTTTGCCTAAATATTATGAACATGTGTTATAAAATATGAGGCTTAAATATTTAGAAAAGATAGCCTGACAAAAGATTTCCTAATCATCTGTGTGTTATTATAGAGACCTGCCTCCTCAGCCAGTGTGATATCCGGTACTGCAGCTTCCTGATCTTTCCCCAGTGCTTTATTTTTGGATCGTTGCGTGAAGCTCTCAGCCTGGCCTAACCATGCACCCCCTTCTAATTCTACTCTATTCATGCAATTTCCCTCCTCCTTTTTTACTAGGCCTTTTCACCTTGCCAGCTTTGGAAGTTATGTACCCCGGCTTAAGTATGGCAAAGACAATTATGTTGTAAAGCTTCAGTATTCCAGAGGGTTTTGAATTTTCTCAAGCCTCATTCCAAAATATGCAATTTGCTTCATGCAAACGGATAGTGTAAATGTGTTACCATGCTTAAAACATAACCTGGGAGAAGATTCCCAGACTGTCCGCATAATTTTTCTACTTTATTTCTTCTATAATCAGTAAGAGGATATAGGCGACTATTTAAGAATGACACTTTTATTAACTGACTTATAGGTTCTTATGGGAGTGCCCAAAACTATTTTCTCTTTCCATGCACAGTGCTTTAAGATACAAATTCATGTGCATTTTATGCACAAACAAAAAAATGTACATTTGCTTCTACCTTGTTCACATAAAACTCAACCCATGTTGGGAATTAACCTGTAGGATAAACAGAGGCAAAGCTGAAGTCATATCTTAGAACATTTCTCTGCATGGTACCAGAATGACCTGGGTAATAAATGAAGAATTCTAAAGGGCTACACTTCTCATATCCTTGTGATAACTGGGAAGCTTCTCTTTTCCTGATAATTCTTTTGAAAAAGAGCTAGATTTTAGAGGTAGTGTGTGTTGCCATCGCAGGCTTCTGGAAGATACATGTTGATTAATATGTGCATAGACGGTCATGGATTGCCTTCCTCTTGGCCACATTATGTGATGTAAACATCGACTAAACTGTTAGGACATTTCAGAAAGTTATTTCAAACCATCCAAAAACACAGTTCCCATGTATGTTCCTTGAGTGAAGGCAAGAATGTGTTTGCAGCTGTTTTACAATCCAAACGTGAAGGAAGTGCAGAAAGTTTTCAAGTTAATGGAAGTTTATATTTGAGTTTATATTTTTAACTTGTCAAACTTTTACTGTTGACTTGCAATAATAAAGATTTCACCTGCTGACCACATGGTCCTTAAAAACAATAATTTTTATGATGTTGGGCTGGCTTCTAACATGCTAAAGAGAACAATTGGATTCTATTCAGGCTAATGAAATCCATGGTGTGCCAACAAGGCCACATTTTGCTTTATAGTAAATTATGAAACGTGCTAAGTGAATCTCTCTACGATGAAAGACTTCAGTGTGCTTCCTAAAGCAGGCAACTTAAAAAGTCAAGCCCAAATATTCAGCTGAGATTTAGGAAGTGGTTGAGACACAACAGCAGGGCTGCCTGTTTTGCTGTGGTTGGAGGGTGTTCTCTGGTTGTGCTGATCTGTGAGTGACTGTGCCCCCATGGATGATTAGATTAAACACAGCCATGTTTTGACAAGCTGCAGAGGCCCTCAACACCATAGACCAAAGCCAAGTGCACAGAATCAGATGCCCAGACTGGCTGTGAGATGTGAAG